CTGACGATTTTTGTGATTCTATTTAGGCTTTTTGGTTTTATGATCTTCGATGGTATTTCCATTTTGGTTTCCCGTTTTTTAATTCGAACGCACATTGGAAAAATCTTTCATAAACACGTATACTCTTGTATCCATGTTGATGTTATATACAAATAAAAGATAAACATAAAAAATTGAATTCATTAAAAAAACAACGTTTGGAAACAATTTCAATTCCAAAGACGAGTGCTTCTGGAATTCTAGTAACTTTGATGAACCAGGGTCCTGTCAAGGAACGTCTCGTCCTTTTTCTAAGAAAGTTCATTGGAAGATACCAAGTCCTTGTTGATAATTATTTCTTATCACAAATAATACATGATTGTCTTGGAGTATAGATTCTAGGTACTGATGTTATTTATCATCTTAATTATGTGCTATAGTGTTCTTTTAATTTGTCTTTGTATATTTTAACCTTTACTGTTTAGTCCATTTTTTGGTAATATACTTTTGGTGTGGATCGGTATTTATACATCCCGACATTGTGTTATTGTGCCATGGTCATTTTTGTATTCTTGGCGTTCATTTTTGCGCATGTACTTTGTCCATAGAGTATCTATATGACATTTTTGTTTTTCTTTGTTGAAATAGCTCTTTGTTTTTAAAGTGATTAAGATTATAACACAATGTTGACTGCTGTACCAAAATTTTTGACATTTTTACCTATGATGTCTGTTTGTTTTGCTCACACATTGTTGTCAATATAACGGAGTTCTATCCGACTGTCATACAAGTGAGAGGTTTAGCTAGCTATATAAAACCAGGTTTAATCCACCATTTTCTACATAAGGAAATGCCTGTACCAAGTCAGGAATATGACAGTTGTTTTCCATTCGTTTGATGTGTTTGCGTTTTTGACCTAGCCATTTCATAAAGGACTTTTCGTTTGGAATTTTCCTTGGAGTTCGGTATTTTTGTTATTTTACTTTTTACCTGGATGTTCACAAAAGTCCACTATGATACTGAATTTATTCATTGGCAACATATTTGTTACGTAATCGTCCCGATTATGAATAACACATGTGCCACTGGACGTTAAGCAAATCAACGCTAAGTTTGATGAAGCAAAAATTCTATATTCATATTCATATATTGAGAGTAAGACCAAGTGGTCTCTTCTTCTACTCGACTAGTTTCTTGAATCGTATGAATCAGGCTACTTATACGGACTTCTCAAGAAGAATTAAAAGTAAGTAGCATGAACCAGAAGCTAATGAACGACAAGCCCTTAATGGTCAAGTTGAAATTATCTTTTCCAAAATTGTATGGACGCTATCAGTGAGCATCAACTGCTTTCTTAACCGGATTCCTAGATATAACTCCGTTTTTTGTTGTTGATTCGTGTTGCTCAGTCTATGTTGTATCTTATAAACTGTTGTGTATCTTTTCGTAGTTTTTTCGTTTTTCGTTTTTTTTTTTTTGCTTTTTGGCACGGCGTTTCTGTTTGTCTTTGACTTATGAGTTTGAATCTTCTTTGATATCTTCTGTCTCTCTTTTTTGGCTGTTGGTTGTCTGTTCGTCGTTTTTTCTTTCGGTCATGATGTTGTCTGGCTTATGTTTTGATTGTCCAATCACCAGAAAAACAATTATAAGCCTAGTATCATTGATGACTTTTTTAATCCAAAAGATTTATAATACTAATATATTTTGTTGAATTCAATGAGCCACAAAGTGGCATTATCATACTTTCTTCATTGGAATATAAACGTATGATAAAGATTCCAGTGTGAACGATTGTTTGAAACCCCTTTCTTCCGGTACACTGGAGGCCAAAAGTTTGATAAGTCGCAAGTATTATATTTCAACATTCTGAGAGCATAAAACGGCCTTATCATAATAATTCATTCTTATCATGTTGTGTTTTTGTTAAATGTTTCCCATTGGTAAATTTAATCATACCAGATATGTTTATGTTAACAGAGCAGCCAGATCAGATCGTCTGATATCAACCTCGCATCGGTTAGTTTGTTGAAGTGAAAATTTGCTATAAAAATATTTGATTTCGATTATCTCAAACCGATGAAGTGGCTACTTGACGGCTGGTATTTTGGAGACAGACGATTCAAGTGCAGCAGTACATGCCAAAGGGTTAGAACAGTAATATAAATGTTTGATTTTATAACTATGCGAACATCACGTGTTTCTGAAATACATTCGGGATAAGACAATGAGCAACGGTAATGGAACAAGAACTGCTGATCATCCCGTAGAACTTGGTATCATCACGTTTGTTTTGTGTTGGGTGTTTTTGTTGAGGTTTGTGTTGCTCAGTCCTTTTCCTTTTTCCATGATATTTTTGCCATGTCATTTTTTTTTTTTTTTTGTATTGGACAATTGGTGTTGTCTTGCCTTTGTTTCTTTGCCAGGTACTCCCGATACAAAAAAAGAGAAAAATATAAAAACGTTTGAAAGCATTTATCTTAAAGACATAATTGAGCTGCATCGGATAGAAATTTACCTTATGCAAGTGCACGTATTCGTGTACATGAATAAGACTTTGATTGATTTTGGAACATTCAAATACGAAGTAAAAGATGAATTTTGGTCTGTTTTGTAGATTTTTCTTATAACAGCTGAATTTTCAAACAGTAACAGACTTTCAATAGAGAAGCCGAAATTTGCATAAGGTCTATTTTTATCCGACGCAGCTCATATATAGAACACCCAAAATAAAAAAAATAAAATTTGAATAGACTCATTGAATGTTGATTGTTTAAAAAAATGATAATTTGACTCCAAATATATGACAAAATATCAAAAACAATAATATTAAATAGTCAGTAAATTATATTTAATTCGTAAATTTAAAAATAACTGCAGTTACCTTGCTAATATTTCATATTTTTGCTTTAAATAATCAAAACTTTTCTAATTTAAGAACGGAACTTTACGCAAGGGAACTTGCTTTAAAGAAATATAATACAGACAGCAATAATTGCCCTTTTCTAGATTTGGAATTATTTAAGAATTTACGACAAAAGAGACGATTTTCAGTTTCCTATTGTTAGTTTCCCTTTTTGAACCGTGATGTTCCTTTGGTCCCTACTACAATGTGAATATTTCAAAACTTGTTCGTTATGCCCATGTTTTACATTTCAGTGAACTTAAACCATTGTCGTGACATCAGCCTATTCATTTACCGTTTTTCTTTTTCTAGAATCAACGCTGCCTAAATCTGTCGCTGAAATGGACTCTTCAAATTATATTCAATTGTTTCCTTTGTGTGCCTAATTTCATTAAGTTTGAATTGGGTAATTTATTGATTTCTGTTCACTAGTGGAATTAATTCAAAAACATGCATTTACTTTTTGGTATTTTATATGCCTTCACTGGGAATCGAACCCCTCCTTGAAGTCTGTTAAGTGTGACTGACATTTACCTCTCAGCTACCAATGGGATGCAATTTAGATGTCTATTTTATATATATAAATGAACATATCATACACATCGGGTACAAGTGACGCACAGGGCTTGTACCTTTTTATATACATAATAGGCGATTGTAAAGTACGGTAGCCGCGAGGTTAGCATGGTTAAGATCAATGAGTTAAAGAGTCAAGTTAAAGGTAGAGACTTGTCGGTCTAGGTTCGAATCCCTGTAATTTCTTTGTTGTCCCTAGTTTTTCCGTTTTTTTTTAGGGTTTTTTTTGTATGTTATTGTGGATATTTTTGTAATAATAGCGGGTTATCCTGTTTATTTTTGGATTATTATTGGCTATTTCACATATTTGAAACGATATGATTACATTCAATTTGTCCATTTTTGTTTTATAAATATAGTATGATTTTATCTGTTTTACTGCATAATTTTCCAAATGTTGATTCGGAAATCCCTATGCAAGTAAATCATGATGTACCTAGAATAAGGCTTCTTGCTAGAAATTTCGGTAACATACTTATTATATATTCATGTACTTAGAAATAATTTCGAATATGTCTTATTTTGTAAATTACAGATAATATTCAGATACCTAATAATTTAAAGACAGACGTGTTATGTTATATTTGTATTTCTCTAACCAAATAATTAGATTTATTAATGCATCGTTGAACATGATAACGTGGTTATTCAAACTCACTTACAATACCTTTTAATTAAGAAAAGGCTTTAATTTTGAAAAGACATCAACACAAAAATATAAGTTATAGATACAATGGATAAGCGTTGATTCATGAAAAACAAACCATTCGCCCTCCGGGCTCATGGTTTCTTTTTTCAAGAATAAACGCTTATTCATTGTATCTAAACTACTTAATTTATGTTTTACTGGTAAATTATTAAAGCCACGGTTTTTGTTACAACATATTTATTACAACATTGTTTGTGCTTTGTACCAATCTTTTGAGTTAAGCCATTTGCAATTGATTTACACAGTTGTTCTTAGGTTGTGCTGTTACACCACTGTCCTAGTTTAGGGGAAGGGTTGAGCGCTCACAAACACGTTTAACCCCGCCACATTCGTTATGTGCCTATTCCAAGTCGGGAGCTTGTAATTCAGTGGTTGTTCATGTCTGTCTTATTTGTTTTTAGTAAATTGTATTGTTATAAATAAGGACCGTTAGTTTTATCGTTTCATTTGTTTGACATTTTTCATGTCAGGACGTTTTATCGCTGACTATACGGTATTGATTTTTCTCATTGTTGAAGGCCGTACGGTGAGCTATACTTGCTTGTATCCACTTCATCTAAACTCTAGTGGATAGTTGTCTCATTGGCAATCATACCACTTCTCCCTTTCTATATAGATAGAATCTACATTTTTTATTAAATCTTTTCTCAGAGTTAATCTGAAGTGTTGTCTTCCTAAGAGTAATACAGGAACTCGGGACTGTTTAAACATCCTGGGTACCCAATAAATAGAGTAGGAATCACTTGTATGGGTTAATATGTATATTAATATACAAAAGTTAATTTACGAATTAGAATAGGGAGTGAAATGGACTGAAAATATTATAACAATAAATAAATCATAAAATTATTTTATTGCTCTTCAACATATAACAAAACTTATTAAAGCACTGTACATAATATAAGTATGCTCTATTTGCATAAATTTAGAAGTTAGGTATATGTTTCTAATCACCTGCTTTTTATGATACACTTATGTTGCCAAGATATAAAAAAAAATATCAGTTTCATTTCTTGTCCTTTTCAATGAATTTTCTAGCCTGAAGACAGATTACAAGGACGAAGGTAAAGATACTTGCAGAAGAAAATCTATTCATTTTTTATTTTGATGAACATAGCGCTTGGAATCGTTATTTTAAGAAGCTAGAAAAACAAAACAGAGAGTTTACAATAAAAACAATGTCCACATCGAATCGATGACTACTACCATCGTTTGTTATATGTTTGACCCCACTAGTTAATTAGAAATCAGAAGAAGTTTTATTTTCATCATACAATCCATCATTAAAATAACCATCAACTTCTGTTTGTTCAAACAAATATCTCCTAAATCAAACTTAATAATGCTGAAGTCGTTAATTAGGCATTCATTACTTCCACAGTTCACTAGGCTATAATTATGGTACTTTAAACATTCAACATTCAACATACAAATGTTAACTGAAAGTAAGAATCATATCAAAACTAATAGGGTTTGAAAAATACATATAATAAACACACAAGGTAAAAAGGTTAAAAGTGGGAACTGAAGGATTTATACGGAGGTAGGATCATTTGCCCCTATATTTTTTTTTCAGAAGCAGGGTCATTTTCAAAACTGTACAGTTATTACAGCCTTGCATTTCATCATGGAGATCCTTACATCATTATGTAATTTTTCTGATAATTTAATCAAATATTGCACATGTAAATTGCTCTTCAATACAATTTTTATCGCTAAATGAAAATTTAATTTAACAGAAATATGTTAAAAAAAAATTTTAAATTCTATATGTCTTTTTAAAATGTTCAAATACCCCAAGATTTCATCACTTTTCGTATACCCGCTGCGTTAAGCAAATATAGCAGAAATTGGTCCTGCATCTTTTCACCTTCTAGAACCCCAATAGGTATTCATATCGTGTTAATATATTGGGGGAATAGTTTTGTGCTTATACTTTTAATGCCAAAACTAAACATTAAAATGATGAATCGTGACCGCCCAACATAATGCATCAACATTATTGTCGAATATAAAGAGATAATTTGCAGTAATGTATATATACCCCAAGTAAACAGTAACAATTTTTTTTTCTAAATCTATAAGACTTCCATTATGATTGTCATCGTGATACAGATGAGATAGTATTTCACACATCTTGTTTTTGTAGCAAAAACATTAAACCATCATCATGCATGTCACTGTCAACTGGTAAATCTGCCCTTTTTCCAATCCTGATGAAAGACGAATGTCCTCTGCGTCCCTCTCTAACGTATTTTCGCAGTAAAAGAGAATTCATTAATCTGTTTCTGCCAATGCGCATGAATGAAGAAGACGGAATCTTGCCAATTCTAATAAACCCTCGTTTTGACGGTTGATCTAACTCAGGACTCCTCTTTCGTCTTTTCAGTCTTTGATCTTCTTCTGGTCCTTGCAAACTGTTAACATCTTTAATCAATTTATATGATTCGTCGGTTTCATCGTTTGGTGCTGCATCGTCGGCATTATCTATTTTTACATATTCAGACCCTAACTTGTCCGACTGTTTTCCTATTCTTACAAATGAGCTGTACCTTTTTTGTGGATCTGTGTTGGCCTTTCCAATTCGAACAAATGAAGAGGCTGGTCGCTTTTCAACAAGTTCGTAAGCAGGTAATACATCACTGTCCAGTTCGTCGTAACTTTTCCCTATTCTTACAAATGAGCTTGTTCTACTTCGTTTTGCCAGTGCATTTGTTAAATCTTTTCCAATTCGTACGAAAGAACTGTATCTTTTATTTTCTTCTGGGTAGTTTTTTCCTATTCGTACAAACGAACTTAACCTTTTACTGAGATCGTCATTTGGAATCATTGATTTCCCTATTCTTACGAAAGATCTCATTCGCTTTTCATCATATGGCCACGAACTATGTAGTTCATCCTCGAGTTGGGACTTACCAATTCTAACAAACGAACTTAAACGTTTGTCTTCGGGATGTAATTTCCCTATTCTAACGAAAGAACTTAGTCGTTTTTCTTCGGGATTAGATTTACCAATTCTCATAAATGAACTGAGGCGTTTTTCTGCAGTGACATCTTCGTCTTCACCGTTATTGCTACCTCCTACAACAAATTTACTAAAGCGTTTTTCTCGATTCGGTTGTTCTTTGTTTTGGTCACATATTATGCAGATGAAGTGGCAAAATATTACAGTCAAGGAAAGTTTATTTTGCATTGTCTGTGGTTCTTTTATCTGCAAACGAAAAAAAGAATCAGTCAGTAATTCACAAAGCAGATTTTTACCAAATGTTACTTTTTGAAAACTCTCTTTTTAATGTTATCAGTTGTTGTTACTTGTTTAATTCATTTATACGGCAAATACAAAGGTAACATACCGACATGAGATGAAATATTACAAGTCCGAACACAATCAGACAGGAATGAGAACAATCTAAATACTGGGTGTAGCGACAGGCTTTGCATACATTACCCGCCATCCAGTAGGAAGACTCAAAGTCAGAAACATTTTTAATGATTTACTTTTATAAATTTTGACTTGGATAGAGAGTTGTCTCATTGGCACTCATACCACATCTTCTTATGTCTATTAAATCAGATGGACAATAGTTGATATATAGGCCATAATGACAATGATACATTATAACAATAAAAAATTAGTGATACTAGTAGTAATCGTAGAATTTGTAAAATGGTTATTGTTTCATTACCATGCTTGAGAAGCTTTTCATTTTATATGATATTGTACTATATGCAGTGATAGAATCTAAAAATATTAGTCTAATATTTTAAAAGCAAAAATTTGAAGTTCTTTGCTGATGATCTGCAAAAAACTACTCTTTCTGAGTAACGGTAGTTTGTGTAAAGCCTTTTTCGTGTCTACACAATGACAAAACAATAGAAGGCAAGGCAATTTGAAATCACTTATGACTGAATTCGATCAAGAAAGAGCTGAGAATAAATGAACCATACGCTGATTATCAAATTTTTAAAATCGGTCAGAAAGTCTAATCTTGTCAGAAAACGGACAAGGTGAAATCATATTTTTAACAATGAAATATGAAGATAATCATTGTTAGTTTATGATTGTCAGTAATTCAAAATGAATGAAAAATCCTTGTATGTTTCAAGTCTACACAATCTGCATGTCAAATGTAGACAATCTTCACACTATTCTCTTCTACAGAAGATCATAAATCAGACAAGCTTTTACTCTTTCAATATCATATGTTTTTATTGTGTTTAAGGTTTACTGTGCCATTGACGTATACTTTTTCTTTATACTTTACGTTTCTTTTAATCAACTTTAAGGTGGTACCAAACACCTTGACTAAAATTAATTTGGCTAGTTTAATTTTCATAAAATTTTGACAAAATATTAACTTTGACATTTTGACAAAAATATAAAAATTTCAAAAAATTTGAACTACACACTTTATCGAAAAAAATTCATTGGATATATAGCAGTTTGAAAACACTAAATTTGATCATTGAGAAGCTTAATATTTCCTTAACAATAGAACGTGATTAAAACGTTCAACTGATTTTTACAGAGTTATCTCCCTGTAGTGTTATGTACCACCTTAACTCTGAACTCAGGTACTTCAATATTCGCTTCTGATTCATACAGATAAGACATAAGCAATATAAGTATGTCACGGTAACCAAGAAATAACCAATACCGTTACTCAAGATTTGTTTTTCTTCTGTTCTTTACTCTTCTAAACACACTTTTTGATTTATTTCATTTCTGTGATTACCTATAGGTTTAAAAGAATAAAAAAAAAAACCAGATAGACAGAACCCAAAGGAAAAGGTTGCAATCTGATTTACAGTTATGATAAAATGACAACAACAACAGATTTATATCTTCTCATCAATGCGCCAATTAAGTAAAAAATTAATAATCTTCATGCTACGGAATAGTAGATCATGTGAAAAGGTTCAACCGACATTGTTTATTGACGTGTATGTATTCGTAAGATTTGACTACAATCTTTTCATATTTCCCTCCAAAGGGAAATTAATTAAGAACTGAAACATTCTAGTATAAAATTCATCTCCGGATGAGTGACTTGAACAAGGACATTTATTTCCTATTGTATCTTAAGCTTGATGATTTATAAGTATTTCACTGAAATGTTTTGTAATGATCAATTATTTTTTATTATATAAGTAACTTTAATGGAGTAAATGAGTGTCTGTTACTTTATAAAATGCATGGTACAAAAAGTTGACAAAAAGAAATTTACAGTATACAAAACTAGTTTGATTAGTCTTTTTTAGTTTGAATATTTTTTTGAATATTTCGGTATCATGAGACAGACTTTAAAAAAAAGAATTTGGATCAGAAAATAATTGGCAGAAGTAGTTTATTCGAAAATCATTTTGAATACACAAAAAAAAAACCAAAAAAAACCAGGGGGGCAGAGAAATGAGAGAGATGTACAGGGTAAGCCTTATCTGATATGCATGCATCAACCGCCATTCGAAAGCCAGACTCATATCAGTCAAAAATGACTGTCAAAAAATGTCACATTTATGAATAAGCAACAATCGGTAATTTAACAGATCAGGCGACTTTACTGGTATCTTAAAGTCTAACATCACGAAATCATGTCTGCCTTATATTTATTACTATATATCATTTCTTATCCATATGTCTATATAATCGCCGTTTTGCTCTTTGCTTAAAATACTTGGCTTAAAGTACACTTTGCATTTCCTGGCAATTCCATTTAGAAATTTCACGCAACAAATTCCCATGCAACATTTTTATCACAAATCTAAAGGATTTAAAAATTAAAGTCAAACAATGAATAGAAGTTAAAATATTTCCGGGATACATGTAAGGTGAAGAATCCGTATTGTTATATTTACAAATAATACAGCTACGAACAGACTTAATCAAAGGATTAAACATCTTACTGAGTAGAGAAGGAGGAAATCATATATCTACCATCTAACAAAAGGTTTGTAAACTGTTAGAGCGGAGTCTAAGATCATGGTATAGTCCAATACATCAGTGCTTTTGTTGAGTTATAAACATTGGTTTATCGATGTTGAGAAGTGTTATCTTCTTCATATAAATTGTGTTCATTTAAGTGATGAAATAAGAATATGATCTCACACTTGAGCAAATAATGCCGTTCAGGTGATTTGCGAACAATTCCGTGTAAACCGAAAAGTGTTATTTAAGTTTGCAAATATTCCGAAAAAAACGGAAATAGCTTAAAAAGGAAGAACTTTTGTTTACCGATGTTCAATCTCTAAAATACTTTTGAATAAACAAAGTATGAAAAAATCTGAAAAAAATCTAAGGGAATCGCTGGAACTCTAAAAGAGGGACGAAAGATACCAGAGGGACAGTCAAACTCATAGATCGAAAACAAACTGACAACGTCATGGCCAAAAATAAAAAGACAAACAGACAAATAATAGTACAGATGACACAACATAGAAAACTAAAGACTAAGCAACACGAACCCCACCAAAAACTGGGGGTGATCTCAGGTGCTCCGGAAGGGTAAGCAGATCCTGCTCCACATGTGGCACCCGTCGAGTTGCTTATGTTATTACATATCCGGTAAATAGTCTAATTCGGTAAGTCACATTCGTGAAAAGGGAAGGGTATTGTAGTTACGACATAAGGAACAAATCCGATATCATCTGTGAAACGGTTATTCCATAACGGTTAAATGTTCCAAGACTTGGTGCGTTATCATGGAAATCGTATCGTGCTGTGCATGCACCACCCGCCATGCCAAGGATGTATACATACTTAAGGAACTAACTATATGACCAAAATGAATATTAATATATCATATTCGCACATTGTAGGCAAATTTAAAATTTATTTGTACGAGCTTTAGAAACAGAAAGAGAGGCGAGCTCGCCGAGCCTTTCTCCTTTTATGTAACGATTACAAATAAATTTTATATTTTCCTACAATGTACCAATATTGTTTTTATCCTGCAATTTAACATTAACTCTTACAGTTGTTTGGCTTCCAAACTGTTGATGTTGTTTTTTAATAAAATCAGCATGACTTAGACGCCAATCGCGTAGAACCCAAAATGTAACTGTGACGTAAACAGTAAATTGAATGACACCGCTCGCTCGCAAAAGAAACAGGATATCTGGAGATAACATACAATACGGTTGTCGCCTCTAAATGCCTGAAAATTGTATTTCTTTAGTTAAAAAGTCGACTGCAGGAAAAAAGGATTAATAGAATAAAAGATGATAAACTAAGAAACGGTTTTTTGAAAATGTTGCCAATATTATATATCATAACAACAACATTTTAAGAAATAAATTATTATGTCTGTATATCAGAACTGAAGGCTGTTAAAAGATTAGTTACTACGATAGAAACAAGTATTAGAAATCTGAAAACAGCACAATAAGAATAGACGTAAATCTCTCTTTACAGTGGGAAATCTAGCGACAAAATAATACCTCCTCTATAAATATTGAAAACTAGATCTTCTCAATGTTTGTCCCATTTTAGGAAGGACGCTATCAACTATGGATTCACGGGAAAACGTTCTGGTAAATAGTAAAAATAGAAATAAGTTGAAATAAAAACAAAACTTCCATTCAATGTTATCATTCCCCTCCTTAAGTAGCAAACGACGAATACAGCAGGCTAAAGAAGCTTGAAATTTAAAATGTTGCTATGCGAATAAATTCCTTGAGTACCAACTTCAATTTATTTTTCTACTGGCTGTATACCTTTCTGGAACATGCTAATTATCCGAATATATATACAGCTAGATTAGAGAAAGTCAGGGAAAAAATTCCAATGGAATCGATTGATATGCAGCAAAGATTGGCACTTTTGAAATTAACTTACTAAGCAAATGCAAACGGACCTTATCTCGATGTAAACATTGAATGTGAATAGATCGAGAAAACCGCAAATACATGTACAAAAATCAAGACGAACTTTTCTTAAAATTGCATAAAAAATAGTATAAAGATACCTACTTTATAAAAATACTTATCTTTAATTTCTTAACCTGCACAAACAGACTTTTAAATTTTTATATTCACCAAAAGACAATATTTCTCTACAGAGTATACATGTGACAAGAGCAGACCGGTGTGCTCGAGAACTTAGGTGTGAAAAAATAAGTATACTTTGGAAACTTGTAACATGCTAAGGACTTTTTGGAACACTCCGAAAATTGGTGACCCGAAAGATCTTTAGATTTTGTATTCTTATGATTT